AAACATTTGGGATAATGTCAGTACACAACTCAACTACATATAGAACATAGCTCTAGAGTTTATTGGCAATAACAGTAAACAGCTGATGTTATAGGATAGGGTGTCAACATGGACTAAAAAAAAAGAGGCTAAAAGCCATTAGTTTGAATTTTAGGCCTGAAAGTTTCCTAAAATATGTTAAATATGATTTTGATTGAAATTCATTGGATTAATGAAGTTACTTGTATGAAGTTGCATTTTTTAGCAGTTTCACTGTATCAACTACAAGACCAATCAACATGGAACCAATACTGATTTTCCTTCTCATCCCTTTGGCTTTTAAATACATTTCTAATTGCATTCATAATGCTCTTAAACACTCTTAAATTGAACCTATAGAAACGTGCAGAAACCCAGTGGGAGTGCAATGCTATGACGCTAGTAAAAACCCTTAATAAAGGTTTCTTTACTGTACCAAATTGGGGTTTTTAGATCTCTTTTTGTTACAAGTGTAGGATGAGGTAATGGGAGCATTTCTCTCACTTGTGGATTCAAGGTCCACACAGCAACCGTCTCTGGGAGCTTAGGGGACTCCCAGGGGTTTCCATGGTCACCACTGAAACTGTCACACAGCCAGTGAGAAGTCGGGAGGAAGACGAAATGTTTGTTGTTGTTCTGATCATACAGTCTCAATTAGGTCGTCACTATCTGTCCACGCCCTTCTGTTGTAGCCAAACCGCCCTACCACATCTCAGCTGCCTTAATAAATAAATACATCACTTATTAAATGTTAGTCATTTCAGAAGAAATGCTATAGTTTACTTATTAATAATGGGGAGCTGTAATGCTGTTATGCTCTGCTATACTAACATCCTCTCTTCCTCTCTAAATCAAATTGTACAGAGAATGATCAGATTAGTTGCACTCAGAGAATATTTTTTTTCACGGCCTGCTATTTAAACTCTTCAAGATACAATACATTACTCATAAGTGTGTTAACATTGAACACTGCTTCTTAATTACTGAATACACAGTCAGTAAGCCTCATGGACAGGTGTGGCTAGCCCACAGAGGTCAGAGACGGTCAGTGAAGTAATCTAAGGAAGGACACCAATAAAGATTTCCAATAAAAAGGCCTAATTTGCGTGTTCTCCTGTCGTTTTCTATGCCAGGTTTTCAGTATGAGTGACGGCTGTGGTCTATATCAGGTCAGCCGATTGGCCTGCAGCCGCTCAAACCCACACACCATCAGCATGTGTGTGATGTGTGAGTTATTTTGCTACAGCTGTCAGATGAATGGATTAATGGCTTGTAGGCATGACTCAGCTGCTGATCAAACATGACTTCTGCTGAGTGAGTGTGTGTGTGAGTGTGTGTCTGACAGGCTGGCTGGGTGGTTGCAGTGATCTATGGAGACTAATAGCAGGTTGCATAATAACAGAGCTCTGGTATCGCTCACTGTGGCTTTAAGTAAGCTGTGAATGTGAGGAAGAGGGTAGTTAAGGAGTTTAAGCTCATGCTACACTGTGTGAGTGTGTGTGGGAGCTAAGGCTAGTTGAGACAGGAATGTACTGTATGTGTGTATGTGTTTTAAGGGGCCATATTAATCAGGGTAACGCCTTTAATGCATATTTCCTGCTTTTATTTTGCTGTGCTTAGGTTCCAAAGAATGAGGAACCACTGGTGTCAACATCTGCCTCCTAATACGGATATACCTTTGGGCTGCACAATTTTAAGGTTGCTTCCTTATTTATTTTTCTTGTGTGCCTTTTTTCACGTCCTAAGAAACTTGCAACCAGAGTTAAATTTTCCTTGTTCTCACCTGTTCAAAAAAGGCCAAAGGAAGGGCTGTGTTAGCTGCTGAGAGGCTGTACCGAAGAATGCTATCATCAGAATGCTAACATGTCTGATAATAACATGACAATACTAGCTCACTGATGTTTGGCAGATATGATGTTTCCAATGCTTGTCATCTTATTTTAGCATGATAGCATGCAAGCATTTGCTAATTATTACTAAACACAAGGTAAAGGCAAAGGTGAACTTTCTTATCTTCTTAGCTTCCTCCATTGTCCTCTCCGGTCTCTTCGCTCGTGCCATTAGCCGTTGAAGCGGCTGAGCCCACACAGTTTATGGACCCCAGTATACAGAATTATATTTAAATGCACTAGATGAAAGTAACACATTAACATCACATGTAAAAAAAACCAAAAAACTGCATGGTTTTTGCATAAATCATAATCAGAATTTGTTTATTGCCAAGTAGGTTTTTACACCTACAAGGACTGTGACCTGGTGCAGTTGGTGCATAAAATATACAAATATACAAATATACAATTATTCAAATCACACAAAAAATCACACA